AATATTTTAGCCAAAAAAACTAAAATCAGAACGCTTTAAAACACTTCAAAACAGCCGAGAACTTCGCAGAACGCTCGAAAACTAATGTGTTTATATGGGAAAAAATTTCCCGCGTTTTTTTTTTCCCGCTTGTTCCGCCATCTTGGATTGTTCAAAATGTCACGCCTCGCGAGCTGAGTCAGCGATCTATACCTCCTATATCTACGGTTTTTGCTCCTTCGCTCGCTTAAAAATTCAAGCGGCAACAAAAGAACGCCCGCTACGTCACTTTGTACATATTAGGATAATTTCAATGTCAATCTTTTGAGTAAAATTGTTTACTATGTAATATCTTCTACTTATATTATAAAAGAAATAGAAAGACTCCTATCGTGCGTTTATGATGTGATAATGCACTCGGGGAGAATACTCGAGAAGCGTGTCTAAAACTCGGCAATACCAAACACACGCGACTCGTTTTCTATTTCTTAAATAACTTACCTAACATATATATGTTTTGGAAATTGATAATTTTGTAATTAAAAGTGATCTTTTTGAGGGATTTTTAAATCTTAAAAATATACTTAATAAAATAATCGTGTGACCATGACAACTACTTTAGATACTTCATGTTCGGAAAATGTAATTTTGTAATTAATGTTTTAAATAAAATTTTCAATGTAAATTAATGTAATTAATGTTTTTTCAGCAAGGCGAGGATTTCTGCATTCATGTATTTTCTAGTCTGCCCTGAAGTTCATCAATAATCGAGCGCGCGTGACTATGGTTCATTGTTGGACCTCCTCACTGATCTCAAAAATATAACTGGCAGGAGTGGGATAGGCATAATTTCAATTTTCAAAAATACATGTTTGAGAAAAGAAAAGAATTGATTTACTGTGAGAAATCGTGAAATTTAGGGCAAGTTTGCTTTCCATGTTTAATGTTTATGGATTTTGTTGCTTTGATTTCTTGCGTAAAACATGCACTGCTTTCCTTTTCAATGTAGCTGTAAGTTTCTTAAATTACCCTGTTTAGTTTGAGAAAAAAATCTTAAAATGTAAAGGAGAGCAAACTAATTTTAACACCGTGCGTTTTGTTTTGTTAAGTTAAAAACAGTTTATCAGCAAAAGCAGTTTAGTTGATTGAATATTTCAAAACATTTTACAAAGCATTTCAGTCAGATTAAATTTTACATTAAATCACACCTCACAAAATGCAAAATGACGTACCTACAGTATATAATTCGGAAATTCATCCTTGTATAGTTAAAAGTACTAATTTTTCAACTATTTTCGATATTTTGTGCACAAAAAATATTTTTAAAATGTAAATTTGAAAATTTTTTGAGTTGATATGGCAAATTGGCATCACTTGGCGCGTGTCTGCGGTCAAAGTTGGCCAAATACTAATACTTAACGAGGGGTTGCTGCATCGATGCATTTCTAGTTAAACTTGAACGCTGATGTCTAAAGGCAGTGTTATTGCTGTTATGCACTCAGTTGATGTCTTAAATTTTACAGAAATATTTCTCAGGTTACAAGGCCCTTTACGTTCCAGTGGTACCGGTCGTGTTGAAGTATTTTACAATGGGCATTGGGGAACAATCTGTGATGATAGTTGGGATTTAAATGATGCTAGAGTTGCGTGTCGTCAACTTGGTTATCTAAATGCTGTCAGAGCGCTTCAAGGAGGATTTGTTCCTGATGGTTCGGGACGGATATGGCTGGATGATGTTGCTTGTAATGGGAATGAACAACGTCTGTCAACTTGTCTACATAACCCGTGGGGAAATCATGACTGCCGTCATTCCGAAGATGCTGGAGTAGAGTGTTTAGGAGGTAACTATTAGAAAATATTTTATAATTTGAAATTTTAATGACGTACAGTATCTGTCAGCCATAGATCAGGGCTGGAATGGTTGTTTTAGAGTTCCTGGAATATTCTTTGAGACATTGTCGCTTTTGGACCCGAGATTATTTACCGCGAGCTTTCTCCTGACAAGTTAATTATCTGCGGATCAACGAAATTCCTCCTTCTTTGACTTTCCCTCAAATAAGTACTCCATTAGCATGGTTAGATAACTGCTAATATTCATATTATTCCTCATGATTTTTTTTTGCTTAGTACATACTAAAATCTTAATTCTAAATCGGTTATGTAATCGAAAAGGCTTTGGAATGGGATATAGTAGTTCTCAATTAATATGTATATTACCGGATTGACAAGTGCATTAAAAATCCTTACGCCTTTCTATTTGTGTAGGTAATTACACGTGAAGGAGTGCAATTATATATATAATGATTAACACTACGAGTAATTTTTGAAAAATGTGCCAAAATTGCACGAGCCGCCGAGGCGAGTGCAATTTGGCCCCTTTTTTAAAAAATCATGAATTGTGTTGATCATTAATGACTGGCCTGTGTGATTATTTATTTATTATATGCATAATAGTACAGTAATTGAACTGAGTGGAGTGCAATTTGGACTGAAATCAAACGCGTGATTACAAAATCGCGATTTGTAATTACTGCAAATTTGATTTTAGTCCAAAATTGCACGGCACGGAACTAAATTTCCACTTTATTATATTCATTTTGAAATCTTAAACATTTTTGTAAACGGAACGTTTTTGTTTGCAAAAGACAGACCTCCGGTATCTCGCTGACTGCTGTAGCATAGCAACAACAAGCGACTACAAGATTGAACTTTTAGTTTTGTCAAATAGTATTTTATACGTTCAAAATACTGCAAAAATGTTAAAGAAATGAGGACATTCACAACACAAGTAAGTTTAAAAATATTATACATTTCACGAGTGATTTGATAGAGTTTTGCAGTCTGTTTTCGTGCAGTTTTGTTCGTTTAAAATCGGTGAAATATAATAGGCGTATTCACCTTGTTTTGCCTGATGCTTTAAATTTTCTTTCGTTGACATTTTCACCATGTTTAATAGAAGATTGTGTTCTTAATTTTCATGACTGTTGTTATTTGTGAAATTTCAAAGAATGTAATTGAAAATCCTTTGCAATTCTTTGATAGTTTACTGTAGGTATCTATATTTTTTGTTTTTATGTGCAAAAATTGCTTAGGTAGTCAAGAGTAATCATGACATATGTAAATTTTTTGTTTTGCTCATTTGCATCATACACATTTATTAATTTAAATAGCTTTAGTAGTTAGTTGTTTCAAAAGTATAGAATACACACACACGCTTCTGTATGGATTTCGTACATGTTCTACATGTCTTACAGTAAAAATACAAAAATTGTCTCACTTCCGCGGTTTGTTGTGATTTACTGTAAGTTGTTCTGTTTTTCTGTAGCGATAACCGATTTATCGGCAAATACCGCGATAAAACTTTTATTTACTTTATTCTACAGCATTTTTATATGGGGCGCGGTAGCGGACAATATTGCCTTTCAAAAATAAATATCTGCCAAACTGAAGATGTTTGCTCTAATACAAAAATATATGGACTGAACTTTGAAAATATATGTGGTGAACATAATAAATTTGTTCTGAACTTAATATATATCTGCCAAACTTAAAAAATACGTACTAAACTTAAGATATATGTTCCCAACTTGAAATAGGCATGCGATTATTTTCATAAATATTGACCAAATTGGATAAGTTCATGGTAAACTCGACAAAACATTGCTGAACTGCAAAAATATATGCTGAACTTTAAAAGTTTTCTATAGTCAAAAAATATATGCTCTTTGAAAAATATATATTCTAATTATGATGCTTTGCGGCCTTATTATATCACGTGACAAACATAACGGACGACCGCCATTCTCTACGATTTCTCGAAGACGAAGATGTTCAACCCAAATGATCTTCAGTTTCACTTAAATAACGCACTGCAAAGGATACAACAGCTCGAAAGCGCCAGTATTTCTCCTATAAACAATCAGTCATCGACAAATTCAAGTGGAAATAGTGGTTTGACCTTAACGGAACAACTGCGAAGAAGTTTTCCCAGCTTAGCAAATCTGCGACCTAACCATACAGTATGTGGCCCAGTTTCGGGTCATTTCAGGTTTGAACTGCTATATCTTCCTTTTCAGGAAAGGTACGATTTTTAAATGCTCACTTGAGAATAGGAAAGGTGTTTCTTAACAATATTTCAAAAGATTGACTTTTCTTACCTTTCACTTTTAGAATTATTTATATTTTTAAGAATCATTTTAGGTGCCCAGTATCGGGTCAACTGCACCAGTATCGGGTCACTTCAAGTTTCTTTGTTTATTGTATAAAAGCGTTTGTTTTACGGCAATTTTCGATCATTTTTTATAGTTTCAACATGTCTTAAGTTATTAACAACTTTTTTGTGAGGGTTTGACAAGGTTTAGACATGATATTTCCAGCTTTAAACTACCTCTTCTACACAGTTTTTGCGGAGTGCGTTCTAAGCAGTGCTTCCACTTTCAAAGGTTGAAACTTAGCTGACCCGAAACTGGGCCACAAAGCCGAACTTTACGTAATTTGTGGGAGCAGAATATATCTCTGAATAATTGAATGCTTAAACTTTCCATTTCATATTTATATATTCTCGGCAATAATCTATCGTTAGGACAAAATTGGGCAGTTACATGGAGAATTACATATCAATAATACGATTTATTGTTATTAGTTAGTTTTACTGCGCAGTGAAATGAACAAATTTTAGCTAGTAAAAGAATATAAACATACCCGGACAAAAGGGATTCTTCTTTGAATACAGTTCAACTAAAAAGCCTGCGAAAAACTATCCTCCAAAAAAGGAAAGGTTCGCCATTTAATATATCTGTATATTTCATTTCGCATCGCTTTTTATCTCGGCGGAAATAAATGAAATCAAATTTCTATTGACCTGCTACTGGCACTGACCTGAAACTGGGCCACATACTGTACATCAAGTCCTACTTTAAGTTGTTCAACAAATTCAACAACAAGCTCGACACAAATGCCGTTGACTCGTGCTTCAACATCAGGTTTTGGTGCCAACAAGAAAAAACGAAAGCGTGGATCGACACCTAAATTGAACATAAAGCCAAAAGCAGTCCACAAAGATTTGGTGTTGGTCCCTGACCCAGTACAAACCTCAGTCCCGACTCATTCATCTCGGGTTATGTTGGAAATTGATGGTTACGTTCTTCATAGCTTTCCTTTTGTAAGAGACTGGGATGACATCCATTTAAAAAAGGAAATAGAAAAAGTCTTTCCGCAGATCCAGTGTTGTGGTTATGAGTACATGAAGGTATAATATACATACGGCATAATATTTTCCTAACAAACTATAATATAGCATGGGTAGTAGTTAGGAAATCTTAAGAATTCCTAGAATTTCTTTGTTGGGCCTGGAAAATTGTTCCTTTTCCTTGTTATAAATGTCCCTCACTTAGAGAGAAATACCTCCCCCTCCCCATCCAACCCCTATTTTAAAGAAAGACAGTCACATTGTCTATCCGAACAACTCTATTAACCGTCCTAGAAATTTGGTAATTTAAATAAGGCATGAAATGCCCTTCCTTTGATGACCCCCACCTCCTCTGTTTGATGACTCTACCTACATGAAATACAAAAATTATTTTACCAAATCCCCCTGCATTAGAAAGCTTATCTTTTAAAAACTGCAGTAGGTATCTTGTATGATCCAAATCCTTTTAACCTAGTAACTGATTAAGTTGCATTGTGCCCTAAAGACCCCCCTAAGGGACTGGTCATAATTTAGCAGGAGGGATGGGGAGGTGGAAACAGTGGGGGGTCACATATTTTTTAGCCAGGAAAAAGGGGGGGTTCATAAAATATTAGACAGTTTATGAAGGCGGGGAGGGGGTCTGCTGTTTTAGTTCAATTAATTGTTTTATACATGCCTTCTCACATTTTGTTCTTCTCACATAAGAGAGGGGGGGGATTATTTTTCCGGGTTATGGAAAAGCAGGGTCACAAAATATCATTCCTTAAAATTTTGAATTACACCCCCCCCCCCTGATAAATTATGATCACTCCCTAATGCCCTCTAATTGGTTCATGTAAATCTGCGTCGTGTTTACTCTAATGCTGTTGTTTTTAACTTTTATCACAACAACGTCCAAGTCTTGTTTCCATTCTATAACAACCATTAATTTAATGGGCCAACAGTATTTTTTGGTTTATTAGTTAGAGAAACAATAACTACTATTTTGTTTGATTTAAAATGTGATGTGGTTGATTTATAGTGGATTACACAAA